TTTCAAATATGTTCATGAAGGATTTATTTCAAAATAAATATCTAAAACACCTTTTCTGACTAAATTCGATTTTTCCCATATTCCCATCAACAAAATAAGATGCTTTGTAAATTTCAAGAAAATAATTCATTTTTCTAGAATTATTATAATTATTTCAACAAAAAAGGGCAACAAAACATATAAAATACTTTCTGGGGTCTATAAATCCTAGGTAATTTCATGAATGACCCCTATGCTAAATAATGACCTCACAATAAATTTCATCGATTTTTGTTACGATTTAACATGTTTTTGAATTTTCTTTTAGTTTGGCTTCAATAAATCATAAAACCACTTTAGACAAGGTGAAAGGGCTACCTAACAATTTTCGCAGCTGATACTCTCTGTGGAAGACTTAGAAAAATATTTTCAGAATTTTTCATAATGTATTCCTATTTTTCTACGATTTTTGTATTTATAATGGACTAAAAACAGGAAAAATAGTTTTACTTGTCCAAAAATTATGAAAAATTACCAGAACACCTTGTAGTACATTAGGCGGCTACATAGAATTTTTGATGATTTTTCTCTTCTGTATACTATTTTTCTTCTATTTTCCCAAGATTAAATACACTTAAACCCAATTTTTATTAGAATAAACACACAAAAATCAAAAAATTGGGATAAACAGTTTAGAAATTCATTTTTATATTTATCCTAGCTTAATAATGACTAATAACAATGTTACAAAAATTTTGGGCAATTTTGGAAACTATTTTCTATTTATTTCAATTTTTATTAGAATAAATGCTCAAAAATAATAAAATTGGGTTAAATAGTTTGGAAATCTATTTTTGTATTTTTCCCAGGTTAAGAATGTGTAATAACAATATTATAAAAAGTTTGGGTAATTTTGGAAACTGTTTTATATTTATCCCGATTTTTATTAGAATAAATGCATAAAAATCATAAAATTTGGTTAAACAGTTTATAAACCGATTTGTATATTTGCCCAGCTTAATTATGTGTAATGACATTACTATAATAAGTTTGGGGCATTTTCTTAACCGATTCCTATTTTTCATAAATTTTTATATATTTAGAGAATTAAATATATGAAAAATGATTATGCATATCCATAATCTATGAAAATTTATCTAGAAGTCTTTTAATACATTTAGAACCAAAATCTGAAGTTTGGTAATTTTTATTAACTGTTTAGTATTTTTCATGATTTTATGGATATTCAAGAAACTAAAATGGTGAAAAATAGTTAGACAAATCAAAAAATTCAAGAAAACTTATCTTGAGGTATTTGACTTCAATTAAAACTGAAATGCAAAGTTTGGGAAATTTTAAAACTAAATTGATTTAGTTTTTGAATATTTAACCATTAGAACGCCTCTTAAAATGTTAAAAATTAACACTTCAATAGTGAGAAATTACGATTAAATTGTTATATAACAAATGATTCATTGAAATTTAATTTTCACAGAAAAATGTTTATAACTTATCAATATTAAATTTTGACACACTATTGGCTTAATTCTATTGTAGTAGTACGTATACTAGTGTTAGATTCCGATTATAGACTCACTGGCGAATACCATTATTGTAGGAATCGATAGTGGTACGAGTGGAGTGTAGTCAAGGCACCATTTGCCTCATCTCAATGCATATTGTGAGTATTCGCCACTTCCCTTTTTCAGTTTTTATGTTTTGGGGTGGAAAATCATTTCCTAAACTACTTATGTTCGTTGTATTTATTTGGCTAGTATAAATTTGGTTGCTATATTTTTCATATTGTGAGTATTCATGCACTCCCCTATTTTCAGTTTTTATGTTTTGGGGTGGAAAAGCATGTCCCGAAAAACTATTATTTGAATGTTGTATTTAAATTTATTTGTATCAAACATGATTTCTATTTTATTGCTATATCTCTCTATGTATGTCTATGCATCACGGAACATGAGAACTTATCATATTAAGGCCCTTCCCTTATCTCTAACCATTAACTCTTTGAGCCAATGGTCATTATGGATAGCGCTATTAGGAATTGACAACTCCTCACTCACCCTATTGTTGGAGTGCATAATACCATATTCATCTATGGAATGATAAACATAGATATTGATAGGGCTTCAGTCATAGGTTTGGTTGAGAACTCATTGTTTGCTCATACACATACAAACTCCTTATTCATTATAGCAACAAACTTGTTATTTATTATGGAAATAAGCTCGTTTATCAATTATAGCAATCAACTTTATTTCTCATTATAGCAATGAACTTTGTTTCTCATTAGAGCAATAAACTTTGTATCTCATTATAACAACAAACTTTTGTTACTAAATACTTATTTACTTGTTTTAGCAACAAACTTGGTTGCTTCTTATAGTAACAAACTTGTTTGCTCCTTGTAGCAATGAAACTTGTTTACTCATTTTAGTATCAAACTTTATTCCCCATGAGGATACGAATGTTGCATCTCTTTTAGGCAACATACTTTATTTCTCATGATGACAACGAACTTTGTTTACAAAAACTTATTTACTTATTTTAGCAATGAACATTTGTTTATGGAAACTGTTATAAATATTTAGATTATCATGAATTTCAAACTATATTATGTTATAAACTTGTGAGTACTCACCAACTATTTTTATAGTTGACGCTCGTTTTACATGCTTTTTCAGGAATCATCGAGTAAGTGACACTTAGGGACACTTCACTTTTAGGAGCATTTGCATGTGTTGTATTTCTATTTTCATTGTAATTTCTTTTAAAAGTTATTCAAACCCATTGTAAAATTTGTAATGATTTTTAATACTATTGTTGGTTTTATCTTTTAACTTTTGCTATGAAACCTTTTACACTGCCACGCCTTGTGTTTCCACTTTAGCAGGGTGTGACAGGAACCTTCTTTTTAAAACACCAAATGCCCGTTCTATTGCGTTACATAAAGAAGCATGTCGAAGATTGAACAACTCTCTTGCATTCACTAGGGGTTGGCAGAATACTCTTTCAAATGATACATGACACCCCTATATGGTGTCATTAGTTAAATGGTATGAGGCAAACCAACGTCTACCAAACAATGTCAGCCTATAAATAACATGTAATTAGTTTTTTAATAAAAGACTACACACAAAATTAAATTAGTTAACAAAAATTACCCTTAGGAATTAGTAGCTTATCGTCTCTTTTAAGTGCATCTTTCACTATCCTTGAGTTTGAGACAGTGCCCTCCCACCCAGTTAAAACGTACATAAACTTCAAATCAAATGAACATGCGGCTAAGACATTTATGGTAGGGTAACCCTTGCGACCACAATATCTATGGGCATCTCTATTGGGTACTTTTACACGAACATGTGTCCCATCGATTGCCCCTACACAATTCTTGAAGTAGGGATACAAACTATTTTTCTCTTAAATTTCTTTCGGGACCACATCACCTTTAGGTTGTTGAATGTAGTAACTTTCTAGTGCTACAATCGAGCGAAGAACTCTATAGAAGCACCTACTTGGTGTAGATTTAGCACGCCCATAAATGAAGGAGACCATTGTATTTCTCATATCGTTACCTATGGTGTGTAGAAACCTTGCAACATGTTCTTCAACAGACATGTGTTGCGTAGGTCGCAGTCCACCATCACATCGTAAGATAGTACACAAATTTCAAAAATCTTGTTCACTCACACGTAAAGCTCACGACATTTCCCACCTTTAATAAGTTTGTGTAATAGTCTTTCTCATTCAAGTTGATGCTTTAATAGTTCTTCCTTACTAAGTAAATTATGGTTATTTTTTTTTCGAAAGTCTATGTTGTATTACAATGGCCATGAACATCAGAGTAACCACTAGCCTTCGTATTTTTTCCCCATCATCATCTTGGCTGGTCATTGAACTTTCCTAATACTAAAAATTCATTTGATCAAGAAAAAGAAAAAAAAAAAGCTGATTAGCTATGTGAATTTGAACTCGAAGTCAGCTTATATGCTATCTCTTGGACCACTTTGAAGTTTAAAACTATGCATAAAGGTTATTGATCTTACTCTACTTTTACTGCTGCAGAGCAGATGGAATAACCTTTACTGCTGCTCTGCATTAGTAAAAGTAGAGTAAGATCAAAAACCTTTATGCATAGTTTTTGGTTGTGGTTGTAATGTTGCATGTTAAAGTGACAAAATCCTTGGAACAATCACTAATGTGGTGTTGATTAATGACATGCCTCAAGAAGGAGATTAGATTATAATATGTAGTTTTTAGGAAAGCGCAAATACTTTTTTGCTACATTCAAGTTACTGTTTGTTAATAGATATGAAGTCATCTATTTTGTGTAAGTATAGGTGAATTGGCATCACTTCTGGACCTATAATTCCAGTTAGGGACTAAACACTATTATTTTATAATTTTTATATCTATAAAACCTTGTTCATGAGTTTAAATTATGGAAGGAAAGTGAGGGGAGGTGAAGGATTTTAAAGCCCCATTTTCCTTCTAATTTTTCCTCCCACTGAATATATTATGGACCATAATATCCTCAACCCTATTTATAAAATCACGTAGCCTCATAATACATACCTCCCTACAGAATTCTCATTCGTCCGTCCCTGTTCAAGTCGACCCTGCAATTTAATTCGTCCCCCTGATCAAGTATGTCTTCCATATCTCTGTACAGTCTTCTTGCTCAATCCCTCCATCTAATCATCTTCTGTATGCATGAAACCATTGAATATGAAAAGATAATAAAAAAACTGAATGTGACTTCACTGTGTTCGATGCTTCCTGTCATCTTCTTTTTGTTGTTTTTGTTGATTCATGAATCACATAACACATTAAGCACCTGAATACGACTATGGGATTTGTATAATCATTTTATAATAGATGTTCAACTTATGTTATGATGAGCTATACAACATATGATTATATACAAAAATTACATGAACATGATAGGTTATAGATGTTTTGTTGGCCTGAAACACAAAGACTAATGTTGCTAGGTTATATATTACAATTTATGTTATGATGGTAACCTTGCCATCGTCTTTTTCAAGTCTATCACATATAGCTTTCATATTAGATGCATAGTCTTTTATGTGTACATCCTCTTTGATGTGTACTTTAGAATCACCATTTTCTATAACAACTCCTCTATCTACATCGTCCTCTTTTGTAATTTCAAGTCTTTTTAAGCTTCCCAAATGCTTTGCATAACGATATGAGTGGAGCACATTGGTGTTTACTTGATTACACGAAAAATATATGAAAGCATCTACAAATCCATCTTCATCCAAACCCATTAATTCTAACTCTTTCTCGATGTCCTTACCTGTATAGTCACGAGATTTGTTCCCTTCCCTCATAACATCAACGATTTCTTTAAATGTTTGCACAATATTGTGTTCAAAAGATTCTGGTTGAGGTTTAGGTTGACGTTCAGGTTCATGTTCAGGTACTACTTCATCTTTATCTTGAAGTTTTCTTTCTAGTTTTCTTTTTTTACTCTTCAGCTTCTTGGCTTTTGAACTCCCATCAGGTGAAACATTTGTTGCTGACACTATTTGAATGTCCTCATCATCATCATCATCTTTGTGTTCGTTCTCCAAAATTACCTCCTTATTTGCCATTAGTTTATCCAAATCAGCAATTTTTTCTATTTTAATTTCTTTGGATTTGCTTAACCGGGCGTTTTTTTCTTTTGCTATTTCCGCTTTTGATCCCGATGCTCTATCATCTGAAAATAACATCACCAACTGATTATAGATTGAAATTTTTTTGGTCCTGAATGCAGCTACTTCAGGGTTTTCCTATTTATAAACAAACCAAAAAAATAATTACTAAAGTTAATGATAAAAAACTTATATAAAATAATAAATCGAACGTAAAACCAACACCTACTTTAATTAGTTGTTCCCTTACTTCCTCCTCTGCTTCAATGTGTTTTGTTAGAGAATTCCATGAGAACCCACTCAACAAAGTACCCCGATACATATCATACCATTTACTAAAATTACCTTTTAACGTTTTCATTCTGTTTTTAAGTTGATCTTTTGTAATAGACTTGTTAAACTCTTTACTCAACCATGCAATCATGTTCGCATATGCTTGCGAAGTGAATGTACCATTCACCCGATTACGTACATCATCTTCCTTTACATGAGCTTCAACTACAACATTATACATATGATTTGTCCATGTCAAAATTCTTTTGTCACAACACTTCCATCCGCTGCCTTTTTGTTCATGATTGCTCTGTACATACAAAGATAACAAAACGAGAAATACATTGTTAAAAACTGTACATATATTTATAAAAAAGAAAGGGCTCATAATTCAAATAACACCATCAAAAAAATAAATTGAAAATGTCACTACAAAATTAAATAAATTAATAGAATGAACTAAAACTGATAATTTGTTGATCTACTATAAAACTAATTAGACATATCTATTTCATTGTTTGGTTTCAACAAGTAATCATTCCACATTTGAGTTGGAATAGCGTTCCTCAATTCCTCTGACCCATCACTACGCACACGTCCATTATTAACATCATGTCTCACTTGTTGTGGTTGTTAATCCAACACCTCTTGTAAGACTTCATCGTTCAAGTTTTTTTTATCACTATCTCCGTCGAGTAGAAAATTGTCACACCCCCAAACCAGAACGGCAGAATCGTTCGAGGGTGGATGACTTCATGTAGTATCGCAACAATTGAATATTTAGTAAAGAAAGTAATACAACCATCATATATATAATTTAAAAGTTTACATTCGTTAAAGGTACTTGTTTCAAAAACAAATTACAATATGATGTCAAAATGAAATTAAACTGACGCCACATCGTCCCTTCTTCAAAAGCTGTTTGTTTACCTGTTTTACTGAATTCCTGAGAAATACAAGTAGTTTTGAAAGAGTATATCAGCATTTAAGCTGGTGAGTTCATAAGTATTTAGTAACAATGTTTGTATGAAATAGAATGAAAATGGTTTGTACATGTTTGAATGTTCTTTGAAAATCCCATATTTTCTACTATAATAGGTGGTAGTTTAATTGTTCCAAAACTTGTAATGCAATAGAGCTTCACATGCCTAAAATTGTAGGTTTATGTATAAATTGCTAAGGCATTTGAAGAACTCCATAAATCAATGTGTTTTTAATACTCCATGTGAGTCTTATAACCATGCTATTTGATCAGGATGCCCATAAAAACATTCTTCAAGCGTTGGAAAGTTATGACGTTTGTCACCCCAAGCCTGCCGGCCTAGCTGTAGCTAACAACTTAGGTGTGGGATTGTCAATCCCGTATAGATCTATACACAAGTATCACGCTCCCCCTACAAGGGATTTTGGTATATAATACAGGACTTAAAATGCATACTCGAAAGTACGTGAAATGTCTCACAAAATTTAGTATAAAACATATTTACATATGAAAATGTCTATTTGTTCTTGTGTATGAAAATATCTCTTTGATATAGTGTTTCTAGTATGTAGATGTTCATGATTTTCTCGTAAACTATACCTATTATAGTTTTTCAAAGTGTGTGTTTTGTTCGTATAGTAAACACTAGTGTAATGCTCACTTGTTATGTAAAGTATAATAGTTATAGTGACATAAATGATCACATATACTTAAGGTATAAATAAAGTGTTTGATTCGTGTAATGTATATAAACATGTTTTATTTCCAAAAGACAAGATGTTATTGAGAATATATATTGCATACGAAAGTTCTCATGCAGTAGTTATGAATCACATATGATTTACTTGATAAAAAGAGTATATAGTGAAACTTTACGTTACATACGATAATAACCGTGTTTTTACTTGTCTCCCCCCCCCCCCTAAAAGTGTATAAAAAGCATTGATAAAACATTTGAACGTGTAGTTTATAGGGGTATGAACTCACTTGATAGCTTGGAGTAGATGAGACGAAAATCGAGCAGAACTTTAACTCGAGAAAGCGGATTTTCTCGGGATTCTCAGGAATCTCGGGAGCGTAAACTTCCTTCGGGGCTTGGGTATGAAAACCGGGGCTTTGGGATATTTCTCGAACGCAAAACGGAGTAAAACGCAAGAGAAAGAGAGAAATTGAGCAATATTACCCGGAACCCTCGCATCCCTTTTATAGGAGGTAGAACCGCCTCCGTACACTTGGCGTACGGGGTTATGTTGGGCATACACGTACGTCATGCATGACCGCATCCTCGACTGTCGGAGCTCAGATGGGATGGGACAATGAGGCATAGAGGGGCGACATAGACGTTTTGAAGCCTAGCACTTGAGTACATTGGGCGTAACTCGGATCGGTCCGGTGACTCCTCCTTCGGATAATACCGGATTTTGAATTAAATTTATATTTTAATTATTTAGTAAACTTCTAAAATTCATAGACCTTTGCTTGTCAATATGTGACTACATCTCCAAGATGTGATCACACATAGACCTTTGCTTGCCAATAGGGCTTGAGTACATTGGGCGTAACTCGGATCGGTCCGGTGACTCCTCCTTCGGATAATACCAGATTTTGAATTAAATTTATATTTTAATTATTTAGTAAACTTCTAAAATTCATAGACCTTTGCTTGTCAATATGTGACTACATCTCCAAGATGTGATCACACATAGACCTTTGCTTGCCAACAGGGCTTGAGTGACCTTAAACTTTTTACGAACTTATGGGTTAGGGAGAATAATTGGTGGAGGTGTAAGAAGTATGATATCCATGGGACATCATCTTCATTTAGGAAACCTTGTTTCAAGAGATTTGGAAAGATCAAAAATGTCTAAACCAGACATCTTTTTGGAAGATATTCAAGATAATTGATTTAAAGTTCTTAATACGACACCCAATATGAGATATTAAGGCTAGGACCCAACAAACTATTTTATAACTTAGAAAAGGGATGCCATAATCCAAGCTATAAAATATTTGAAGGTAGGTGAATGACGATTCACCTATTTCCACCATGAAAAACAAAATAATTTTTTAGGTTTTAATTGGATTTGAAACTCATAGATCTTTGAGATTTATTGAACTTTTCAATGGCATGATTCAGTCTCGAGTGTGCCCTTTAGGTTTTGTGAATGGGATGCCGAGGATCACAAAACAAGGTGTGAAGGAACCATGCAAATATACTGGGTACTCTTAATATTTACCCCTTAATCGATGTGTCGGTTAACCACACATGCTCCACCGATACTATGATAAATATTAAGTTACCCTTTGCCTACCTTGTTAAGTCCAGGTTAGTGTGCCGGTTAACCACACACGCTCCACTAATGAGTTAAGCAAAGTGCAAAGTGTAATTCATGGGTTAGCACCTTATTCAGTTTTTCCTAAGTAACTGTGACAACCCAAGTTGTCCCATTACATTTCTCCGTTACCGCTAATGGAATATTCCACTGTTCAAAAGTTCCGTTAATTAGAGGGCGTTAGTTTAATAAACATTTCCATTTGATTACCTTTAACAAGCCGTTAAGTCGTGATAAAAGGAAATAAAAACACAGGACACACATTTCCATTAAGATGGGAGATGTCAAGTTTTGTGTTACGACCACTAAATCAGGTGCGGCCAGAATCCCCGTTTAACGGCAGTATCGGGTAGAATTCCACTGTGCCCCGACTCAAAACCCTATATAAGGGTGAGTGGAGTCTATTGGAGACTTTTTACACTCTCTCTCTATACTCTCTCTCTAGACCCGTTTTCGCCCCGAATCTGCAACCAAACGCTTCCAAATTGTAATTCCGCTTACCCTAGCTTGTTCTAAACATTACTAGCTTTAGTTATAGCCCAAAAACCATCCAAGAAGGCATGGGATAAGGAGTTTACGGCCCAAGAACACTCTAGGGCCGTAAACCCCTAAATTAGTGCCAAACATGCCTCTAAACTTGTCCATAAGCTTGGGAATAATTAGGGGATATAGCCTAGGAGTGTTTAAACATTAAAAGGCATGATTTTAGGACTCAAACACGAGTTTACGGCCCAAGCACAAGCTTAGGCCGTAAACTCCTCAAAATCATGTCAAAATGTCCCAAATGTGCACCAAACTCATCCTAGGGCTTATTACATAATTTAGGGACTTATCCTCTTGAGTTTAGACACTTGAAACACTCCAAAATGATTTAAAGAAAGGAGTTTACGGCCCAAGCATTTATCTAGGCCGTAAACTCCCCAAAAACCCCTCAAATGTTGGTTTTAATCACCCAAAATAGCATCAAACTTCATTAGAAATCACTAGAAAGGCATTAGGGGCTTGAAACATCACCAAACTCAATGATTTAGAGTTTATGTCCGTAAACTCCTTTAGGAGCTATTCTTAGGCCGTAAACTCCATTATAAGGCCCTTAGGAACCTCAAATCCACTCATGCCCTTTAGGAAAAATGCTTAGAATAATTCAATGAACAAGCTAGAAGCATCAAACACCCAAGAATAGGACCTTGGGAGTTTACGGCCGTAAACTCCTTGTTTGGTCCATGTTGGTGTTTTAAATCCATTTACACACTTGATATGTGAGTATAGCAAAGTCCCACAACTGATAAGAGACCCTTGGCACCCGTAAATGCTACCCGGGACCCCAAACACTCAACCAAAAGTGTTTTCCACTCCTTTGAGTGTGTATAATTGTTTAATTAGTATATTATATGCTAATTGTATGTGAACATATGTTATCATATGTTAAAATAGGTCCTTGTGTGTGTTCAAGTCCTTGCGTGACCCCGAACGCCCAATCTGCACTTTCGTCGGACCTACTTACACCAGGTGAGTTCATACCCCTGAATGAACCTTTTAAATGCTTTTAAATGTTTTATAGGGGGGAATACAAGTTAAACATGCAAGTTATCATGTCAATCGCATATGATTGATAACCCGCATGCACAAGATTTTACCACTTTTACACTGTTTTACCGAGTGGGACACTAAAATGACTTTTACCTGTTTCATAACTTTTACTTATACTGATTTATTCAAATTCATCCTAAATTGGTTTATGAAAGATCCTCTAAGGTTTTAAACATATTTTACAAAGGAATACAATTTGTGATTTTCTCTGTACATAAAGGCTTTTCATTAAAGATTTCCCTTTTTGACGTATACTTTTACTTGTTAAACACTGCTGCTTCACTTATACTTATTTTATACTCTAACTCGGTAACACTTTCACTTATACCTATAGTC